CCCCCCCCGATTAGGAAGACTATCAGGACCCCCATTACTTACCTTTGCACTCCTTGCCCTGATGGCATCTCCTCGTCTTCCTGCAGCCCCCTCTTTGAATCATCTCTTCTGGAAATAGGGCTCCTTATCTATGCCCTGCTTTTTTTTTTTTTTTTTTTAATATTGGTCTGTTGGGCTTATTTTTCTCTCTTAACTAACATATTTTGTTTTATTTCTCTCTCCTCCTTTCTGCCTTTTGCTCTAAGTTTTGTTTTTCCTTAGCTTACAATTACAGGGTTTAAGGTGGCAGAGATTCATGGGAATTTCATATTTCCCAAACCACTATAGTGTGTAGACATTCCCACCCTGAGGGAAGTCAGCATTTGTTAGTACCCCACTGTGTTGATGTTGTTTTGCTAAAAGAAAGAGAAGACTAAAACAGATAAAACTATAATCAGTTCTGGTATTGCACTCCTGCTGGAGATGCATGCTGCAGAGAGAGAGAATTTTAATTTTATCTGGTAGGTATCTGAGCACCGAAAATGCACTAAAGGTTTCTTAAATCATGAAATAAGTGTGGGTGGGTGGAGGGGAAGGGAGAAGAGGCTTTTGTTTTGTTTTGAAATGTTTTTGTGCTCTTAAAATCTGTTAAATGGAGTTTGACTGAACTTCAGAAGCATTCTTTCTGCCTTCAAATCTATGATCATCCAGTCTGACCTTCTGAAGAGCACAAGCCACTGGTACTGCAGCTAACAATGTGAGAGAAATGAAAGCCCCTTTTTGTTGACACACTCTATCCCACCCTGTATAGCGTGCAGTAGAAGTAACTTTCTGAGTTTGAATTTGCCTTTCATGCTTTGCAAGTCATTTCCATCAGTGCAGCATGTGTACTGACTTAAGTGGATTACTCGGGTCATCTAGCACCTGAACGAATTGAACCTTCAGAGACATTAGCTTTGGATTTATACAGTAAATAGTAATAAATAATTTAGAAAATTAAAAATAAAAGTTCAAAGGCAAGTTGTAATGACTGTGGCTTGAATCCTTTCTTCTGATGCAATTGCTTTTTGGGGGGAGTTTATAGTTATGGTATAATGGGATCTAAAAGATGGTATTGACTTATTTAAGTGGTTAAAATGGATATTACTGGGGTAGGGTCAATTAGAAAATAGTTGTTCTCACTGCCCTGCCACCTACACCTCCCTCCCCACCCATTTGAAACACTCTTGTACCAACTGGGTATAAACCACAAAGTTATCACGTGCTTTCCTGAACATATGCAGTCAGTCTTGCAGTCAGTGAGAAGTAGGCAAACTTATCACAAATAAAATACAGTTGTGAGATTCCAATTTATTTTACACGTTGTACTGATTAAATGCCTGTGGTAAATTATTGATATTTGTTGGCAAGTAAAAGGGCTTTATTGTAACCCTACATAGATTTTTTCACACCAGGCAACTATTTATTCTAACCTTTCTCTCTGACTTGCAGTAGACTATTACTGTGATCATGTAAACACTTAAAATCAGGTATAACTTTATTTGGATATAAGAACTTTACCTTCAAGAAGGCTATTCATGTAAGTAAAGCTACACATGTTTAACTGCTTGCTGTAGAAAGAGGAGCCACTGACTCTACTAGTAATGACCACTGCCCTTAACATATGCAATATATTTCTTTTTTATCAGGATTGTATCAATCCATGTTAACAGTTTGATTAGTAATATGAAGACCACTTTGCTTTTAGGATGTATAGACAACCAAAACGTTTAAGATTTTTTGTTTTTGAAAAATAGTAAAACTATTACTTCAGAGGAATACATCTTAATGTGTGAAAATCTAGTAAGATTTAGTTCATGACTTTCGCTTTCTATTTTGCAGTTATTGAAAACAATTTTGCAGCTATTGGGGGTAAGAGTTTAGTGGTAGATTCCATCCCCTTTTTGCTAATTCCCTAAGGGGGTTGTATTTTTTGTTTTTGTGATTTTTTTACCTAAGATCTACAGTGTGTAGTGGCTTCTTGCCTTTGCACAGCTGTCTAAATCCCATAGCTTTCTGTAACCTCTGGACTGTGCACCTCATTTGGAAACCATCCATCCAAGAGCACCCTCACTGTATTCACTTCATGTCCTTCTTCACCTCTCAGGCACTTTAAACAGTGGTAAAAGGTGGTACAAGAGAGTTCAAACAGTAACTTTGTGCCAGCTTTCCCTATGCATTTTGGCAAATAAAAAGGTGGTGGGGCTCACTGATGAGCATCTATTAGTTGCAGGCCTGGGAAATCATACCATGAACAATTGCTTTTGAATATAGACCAAATTGGAAGTAAACGAAGTGGGGTTGTAGAGGGCAGGAATTTTTGGTTAAAAGTTACTAAAGAAATTATTAAATTATATGTATTTTAAAGAAGACTAGCAGCAATTTAAAGTGTAATTTCTAGGGCCTTCACATTGGAAAGCTGGTGTTTTGTGGTCTATAATAGGTCTAATCGAAATATCCCTTTTTGGAAACATTACAAATCTGATTTCTTAAAAAACAAATAAAGGTCAAAAATCATATATGAAAAATGAAAATAGGTGCACACAGCCTGCAGTATTGATGTGTGTAACTTTTTATTCTTGTAGTATTTAATTCGGTAGGATTGTGCCTAAAGTTAGGTTGCATTGAGTAAATATTTCTTTAGCAAATGTGAAGTATTTTACCTGTTAAAGTATTTTTGCCTTTGACAGTGCTAGTGTAGCTCTGCCCCTGAAGAAAGTACTTGGCAAATATATGTAATGATTATGTAGTGCCATTTAAGAAAAATGAAGTGTCATCTATATTTCATGGCTAATTATCTGTTTTCAGTTTCACTTTTTTTTGTTATCCCTAACTTGTTTATCTCTCTCTATATTTATTTTCAGTAGACTGGAGAAATTACTAACACACTGACCTTGTTAAGGAGCGTGACAATGTGTATGATGAAGAAGTAAAATTTTAAGTTGAGGCAACCATCTATCTATGTAATAATATTTAATCGCTATTTATTTTTCTCTTCTTGTCTCTTGACTAATTACTAATGTTCAAAACACATAGCTAATTTTGTGAACAGACTAGGAAAAAAATTTTCTATGCACTGGACCACTATTAGCAAGAGTGCCTTTGTTCCAGCTATCACTAGACATTCTTATAACCAATGTTCTTTTCTATAAGAGAGTTCATCAGGATGTTCTAACATCTGTTTTGGAAAAAGATGCTGAGAACATTGGCTGCCACTTTGCTGTTTTGTTGTTGTAGAAGATGAGTTTCAGTGCTTTATTTTTAATGAGAATTCAGCATTTTAAAATTATAGGTTACTAGATTCTCTAATGGAGGGAGCGGGGTAGATGCATTCCATTATCATTTAGCCAGAAAGGCTCCAGGAGGAAGCCAATTACTGTCTTTCCTCAGGAAGCAGCATCCCTCTACTCTTTTATGAATATAACAAAAGCTGCAAATTATTTTTTGAATATTAATCTAGATTGGGCAGAGTATTCCCTTCTTCTAGAAACTCTATTTTATAATGAATCCTTAATAACTACATAAGGTCTGCAGCCAGCTAGCTGCAAATATTGATTTGTTGGCTGTTGCTGCTTTGGTTGTTACAAGTGGAAGAATTAGCCAAATTATGTATCCTGGATGCCTGATCACCTTGACATTGCACTTGTTAAGCATGTATTTCATCTCTTTAGGCCCAAGCGATTAGACTTTGTGTCAAGGCCTGTGGCAGGGGGTCAGGCTAGATTATCTAATCAGGTCCCTTCTGACCCTAGCTACTAGAAAACTATGAAGGCAGGAGGGAAGGAATTCAAGCCCTTCCCTTGTAATCACTGATCCAGCCTCTACTCAGTTGTAAAATAGAGACAGCTGCCAGTCTTTCATTTTTGTAGTAGCTTTTGTGGAGCTGCATGAGAGAGATTCAGTTGCCATGTTCCACGTTGTTTGTTCTGTGCAGTCCTGTTTTGAACAGGCGTCAAACCCTTTAATGTGGTATAAATGTTCCTTTATTGTCTTTATTTTATCTAGTTGTTCCCACATCTGGTTGCTTCTTGCTGTACTTCAGAACACTAAAAAGTTTCCACAGCTTTAGCAGCATGTTTTTCACCTTTCCAGGCCTAGTCCAGTGTCCTCACTGGGGTTGTCTTTCAGAGCTAATAATATTCCTTTGGTTTCCTTTAATCCTGTGCAAAAAATTTTATCTATATCAGAAGACTACAAACCATCATTTGTACAGTGTTTATGGGTTTGGGTTCTTATGGTTCTGACTTCTTACTGCCAGTTGTAACAAATAACTTGCAAGGAAAGGTTGGAAGAACTGGGATTATTTAGTCTGGAGAAGAGAGAATTTGGGGATGGGGGTTGTGGGTGAAGGTTTTGATTACAGTCTTCAAATACCTTGAAGATGGTTACAAAAGATGATGGAAGATGATTCTCAGGCTGCAAGGGAAAGGGCAAGTGGTAAAAGCCTTACACTGATAAACAGGGAAATTTAGGTTAGATAGTAGGAAGAACTTTAAAGGTTAGTAAGCACTAAAACAGATCACCTAGGGAGGTTTTGGGATCTTCAGTGGAGGATTATAAAATCAGGTGAGTGAGACAAACACTTGTTTAGGATTGTTTAAATAGGAGTGGTCTTCCTCTGAGTATTAGGTTGGACTAGGTCATTTTATGAAATCCTTCCAGCCTTATTTTTCTGTGAATCACTTTAATCCATTTATTTAACTTGTAACTGAGTTTCTTTGTGTTGGTGTATTTTGTTCAATTTTTATTCCATAAAATGGAAATAGCTAAGATTATCTGCAGGTTGTGGTTAGATGGAAATGGTGATAATCTTTTGTTTTCCAAACTATTTCCCACTCTTGTGTTCTATTTGCAGGTCCAGCATGAACAAAGAAACCACACCACTGAACCAGTTGTAGATGACTATAAAAAAATGGGGACTCTGTTTGGCGAACTAAACAAAAGCCTTATCAGCATAGGCTTCACAAGAATGTATTTTGGAGAGCGGATTGTGGAACCTGTAATAATCATATTCTTCTGGATTATGCTCTGGTTCCTTGGTTTACAAGCTCTTGGACTCGTTGCTGTTCTGTGCCTTGTTATTATTTATGTGCAACAATAGTGTGGTAGATGGCTTCTTAGATGACCTGTTACTGCCGTGTCACATTTTGATGGATTATATGTTGAAGCACATAAGTGGCATATTAAAGGTTCAGTGTCCCAAATCATGTTTCACATGTGTGCAAGGGGTTTTTTTGGGGGGTGAGGTTCAGAATAACATAGAAAGAAAGTTGGTTCTAGCACATCTTCAAAGGAAAGGGGAAACAATACGTTCTTAATGGTACTATCCAAAGTAACTTGTTACTTCCTGCAATTTTGTGGGCTCAGTCCTATTTAATACAGCATAAAAATAGCCAAATAAAATTGGGCAACTACTTTTTCATGGCATGTCTGGCTGTTTTTAATTGACATTTCCTTTATAGTGGCAATTCCTCTCTTTCTAATTTTAAGAAGTTGTTTGGAATGAGATTTCTTTTCTGTTCAGAAAGCCACGAATCCAAAATCCGGTCAACTACCTGAATAACAAACCAGAGTGCATGCAGACATTTTAATGTTGAAAGAGAACTAAGCTACAAAAGGTTTGCCAGAGCTTCCAGAGAGAAACAAAGCTATACCAACAAAAACACCTTTATAGTTGGTATAATTTCAACAACACTGGACTTCTGCTGAATGTCGTGCATGAATTGCAACCCCAGCTGACATTAAGGTACTGACAAATGTTTCTAGTCATAATCTGGTCTGTTTGCCCACAGGTGTTTGGCTAATCTTACAGTAGGTGGAAGCCTTGTTTTTTTACAGTATCCTAGCAAGGTCTGGCCCTAGAATAAGGTACGAGTGATTTATATTAGTAGGACTCTATAGCTACATTCCAACTGCATTCTTACTCAGATCTGGTTTGAAAGTAACTGTCTACTGCATCAGTATCTAAGAATAAATATCCAAGACCAAGATGTATATTCTGTAGAATTACTGAAATTTGTAAAATCCACTTTGGTTATATAGGTAGGGCCTGATCTTGACCCATACTAAGTTAAGTGAGTGCAGAGTGTTGGACAGTATTAAGGAAAAAAAGAAGTGAGACAGAATTCTTCACAAAATGGGCTGCCATTCTTTCAAAAATAGTATTTAGGAAGTAATTGAAATGCAGTTGGCGCTGCCCAAAGGTAGTAATGAAAACATGCATAGACTGTGACAAAATACAGTTTAAAGACCATAAGATTTTTACTTATGCTTTTTTACAAATATTTTTGGAGTGACAGACCTCAACAATGTATAGTTTTACTTAATTAGAAATGATGGGTCTAATCTAAAAACCACTGAAGTCAACAGAACCATTCCTTGTGGTCCCAGTCCCAAAGGTTTAGGGACCTTAAAGGCAGATTCTCGTGTCCACATGGATCCCTGTGGAGTCTCTGGTTTGCATGTGTGGATTGCATGGCAGAATCATTACTCATAAACATGTGCTGCCATTAAGGTCAATTATTGGTCATGCTGGTAGATACACGGCCTGGTTCTCTAAAGGTATTTCATTTCTTAACTGCCATCTACAAACAGGTGTCTCTTGGCTTTGTGAAATCAATGGGAGTTAGGTGTCTAAGTACATTTAGAGCATTTTGGTAATGATGCTGATGATATGGAAATACGCTACAGCATAAAATATTCATAGATATGTTTTTTGTCAACTGCTGCTGGAAGTTGAAAAGCTAAATGCAAATACAGTATGATCTTAATGACAAGCTGTGGACTCACAAGTGCCTAAGGGTAAATATTTAAGTATATCCTTTTAGAAAAGTAAAATATACATTGTACCTTTTGCATATTGAATATGTTTTTTGTGTGTGTCTGTAAAAGGGCTCTGTTCCAAAAATCTCATAATTTTATAATTTCAGGCCAAAAATTTCATCATTTACTAATTTCAGGCCCCCCCCCACGGAAGTTGCCAGTTAGCGTTCAGCGCATTTCACCGTTTTGTCTCATCTGATAAAAGTTGACATCTTGCAGGATATCCTTAGTGCTGCGATGGTGTCTATACTATATTAGACCGTGTATTGTGATGCACATTGTACTAGTTTTCTGAAATAAAAGGAAACCTTCCCGTGGTTTGCTGTGTTAAGGGAAAGTGAAGCTAATTGATCACAGACAAAATGAAGCAGGGACAACAATATAGATCTCTTACTTTATTATATGCATGCTGTTTGTGATTATTACTTGTATTAACATTCATCCCAGACATTCTCCTGGCTTTTTTTTAATGAGCTATGGCATGGGTGCCGCAATTGGCATGCTCAACCTCTGCATGTGTTAGGTTGGACAGTGAACCAGCAGCACGATGGCAGATCAGGCAGGGATCAGAAAACAAGCATTAGATCAGGCAGGGAGCCCAAAGCAGAGCAACAGATAGGGAAAGGGATCAGAATGGCACTTGGGGAGGGTGCAGGTCTAATTTGTGGCATTCCCACTGATTTAGACATTCCTTTTTTTATTTCCCCTTCAGTAATTTCCCCTTCTTCTCTTCTTTATATGCTCCCACGTATGAGGGTTCCATACAAAGCACTCCGCTTTAATCTCTGTATGCTACAGCTATAATTTTATTTCCCTTACTGTTTCTGGAGGGTAAGCCAAGGAGACAGCTCTGTTGTTTTGAAAATGGGGTTGTGTGCGCAAAGAGACCTGAAACAAACATGTACATTAAAAAATGAATGTGAATTAGTCAAATGCCATAAAGAAATGGATGAAGCCTACTCGCATTGTTTTTTCCTCAGAACTGTAGGTTGAAGTTGGTGGGATTGTTTGGTATGCAAAGAATGTAGATTTAGTGCACAGACTAAAAATAAAGGATAAATACAATTGTAATATATTGTTTGGAAAGAAGGAGTATTTTCTCTTAGAAGCTGAGACCCTTAAGGTCTTCTCCGGTTCTATGAAACTATAATGATGAATTTTCATTGTTAATGTTAATACTCACAATATTTATTAATTCCAGTTCTAGCTATGTACGTGCGTATACAATTGTATGTAGACGTTACATCCCTCAAATATTTATTACAGAACAAATTACATAATCCTTATTGGTCAGAAATTTTCCACGCAGCTCTCCTGTTTTTTAAAAATAGACTTTTTAGTACATGTATCTGAGCCTTCCGATTGTGTAAGTGCTTGATTATTGTGTACAGTTTGCATTGGAAAAGGTGCCACATTAAAACTGTTCATAAGAGAGAAATCTTGTTTCTAAAAATATTTGTGTGAAATATGATTGAAAGCACTTTGTTATTCTTTCTAATAAAAAGTATTCTGTCATCACTCACATTGTCTCTTGGTCTGCCTGATAGTAAATGATTAACTGCCACCAAATTGACCTGTTTTGTCCTTGTAAACCACTAAAATCAATAGTTTTCTGGACCCAGTTTAAAGGAAAAAAAGACTACACAGGTATTCATCAATGAAAAGGATCAAAAAAATCATAGTAACTATTGTGTTGTCCCAAACATTAACAATATTGATTAATATGGTGTTTTATGCTGCAATCTGTATAATGTTTATAGGCTTATAATCATTTATTTTTTTGTAGCCAGAATGCAGTCTCTGGAGAAGCAAGATTTCTGCCATACTTTAAGGCCACAATTCTAAGGCTCAAAAGTAGATATGTGTTTTTTGTTGTGATGCTTATTGTGAGGGTTATACAGCCATGACACATTAATGTAAATCCACTTGAAATTGTTCATTTCTTTTATTTTTTGATTCTGCAGTATACCATCATGGGTACATTTTTTGTATACAAATGTCTGCATCTGTTTACAAAGGTGAAACAGCTGAAAGAATATACCCCACTCCCTTTTTTTTTCAGATGAATGTTGTTTAAAAAGACAGAAAGATCTTTTGGGTCACTTGGGACATGCTTTTCAGGTGAGGCAGTTTCCTGTCCTAGATCCAGCCATTGTAGAATTGGCTCTTTTCCCAGTCCAAAGCAAACATTTAAAGGGTGGAGGAGAAAGGGCTTTTTCTCTCCCCACGAAGCTCAGGACAAAGAGGTAAACAAGATGCCAAGTTACTTGGAAGAAAAGATGGATAATTAAGAGAATCAAGGGTCTAAATTTGTTTGCCAATCTTGCATCTTATTTTCTTCCATGTATGTAACTTTGTTTTGGGGTTCTGGGTTTCTTTTTCCTTGCCTAGTTCAGGACTGGCAGTATTTGCTTATTAATCTGTCTCTGCCTGACTCTTTAGGTATTTAAAATATACAATTTTTGTGGTATCTGTTTTAGAGCAGTGGTTACCTTCATCCTTTTTGGCTAGCAGGCCAGATGGGTAGTGCCCTGGCTGTCCATGGGCCAGATCCAGCTAGTGATCTCGATCTGGCACAATGCAGTGGCAGCAGGGTCCTATCTGGGCACTTAGAGGGGGCAGGGGGCCTCCTGGCTCCAAACTGGCCCCACGCGGGGAGGACATGACCCAGCCGTGAAAGGAGAGGGGTCATGGGCCAGCTCTATCCAGCTTGGGGGCAGGGCATGGCCTGGTTTCATCCAGCTGTGGGGGTTGAGGGAGGGGTGTGAGCTGACCCCCAACCTGCTGCACAGGGCTCAGGTTTTGGGAATCTGGCAGCAGGGGAGAGTAACTGTATTGATTGCCACTATTCCCCCAGATACTGATGACTGGATCATTACGCCTCCACTGGTGGTAGCAATTCAGGATTCATAACACAGGAAACTAATCTGAGAAAATCAGAGACAAGAGACTGCTTGTCCCACACTGCAGTGCATTAGAAACTAGAGCTGAACAAGCATCTTTTTAATCTTTTCATTTGCAGATGTTAGTATCCTGTTTTCAATAAAATTGTACTCTTTATCACCAAGGCAACATAACCTTGGGATTTTTCGTGTGCTTTCAAAGGGAATGTAATGAATACAGTTTTCAGAGAGTTAAACTGATATTTAGGAATATAAGTTCTTTTTTCAGATGGAAAGATCATTCAGTAATCTCTCCTTGACTTTCAGGGAGCCTCAGGCTATTTATAAATTGAACTTGGGCTCTTTCAGAAGCCTTGGCCAGTAATCAAACTACCTTGTCAACTGATACATGCATACATGGATACATGCGTATGTACATACATATGTTCTTTATTTATCTTTGTAATCGTATCCCAAAAAAAAATCTTCCCCTCTCCCAATAAATAGTTTTGAAGAGTGCGCAAATATAGCCAATGTTAGAAACATTGAATTACAACAAAGAACTATGACATATCTCTGCTGTCTTGCTTATATTGGAGTATATCATATACTCTGAACCAGTTCTCCAACATTTCCTTGGCTGTCGCTTTGTGTATTGAAGTATCTTGCAAGATGCTTAGCTAGAACTGATACCAGCCAAGTACTTACTGTCCTCAGGCATTTCAGCCCTTGTAAGCTCAAGACTCTCTCTGCACTGATCATACTCTGCCTCAGCTGTGCAACATTGGCCTTGCTTGTCCGTAGGGAGTGGAAATGTACTCCAGCAAACCACAGTCTTCTGATTCTGATAGGGTTTATGAAAGTGTGATAATGCTGCAGTTTTTCAAGAGCTAAGCTGTTTGTGCCCTTCATCTTACTTCAGTAAATGTCTTTTATTATAATTGCACAAAAAAATTAAACTTGATCTTGTTACCCGACTCTTACTATTTAGTCCTCTAAGCACTGATGTTAAGTGGTATAGTTTAGCTCCACCCAAGGTACTGAAATGCAGCTTTTAGAATAGAGTTCTGTTAATGCTGATTCCTTTTTTTTTTTTTTTCATTTGCCAGCAGCAAGCAAAAGTTAAACAAGAAATGACATGGCTCTGCATTGCTTAGCTCCTCAGATTTAACATTCTTCTCCCCACTATTCAGAAAAGCAAATACAAGTTACTGTGAAATAATCCTGTGATTAATTTCCATTTGCAGATGACTCCTTTAATTTACCCATCTTGTGCAGTAACTATTATATTTTTATTCCTGTGTTACATGTCTAATAACTGTTGAGAAATAGCCTATGAATTCCACTTCATCAACCTCCTGGATACAAAAAATCATGGACTAAATATAGACGTTGGAGTTATGACACATTATAACCTGCCTGACATCTGACTCCCCAAGTACCTCTTCACTTCTTACTACATTCATATCCCCCTGCTCTGCCCCCCACCTCCAACACCTCAATTTAAATCTTCACTGACTGGCTTTCTTGCATGCATACCAGCCTCTGGCTTCTTTACTATTCATTCCATCCAGGAAGAGCACACACCAACTGCAGATGCTTCCTCAGTCTGACAAAGGGTTTTTAAACCTGAAAGCTTGCTAAGAAAAAATTTTCCAACTATTTAGTTGGTCTAATAAAAAATATCAGATTTACCCAAAGAACCTTGTCTGCCTAACAACTATTGGGAAATTGAGTTCCTTTATTTACAATCTTTAACATGGTTCTAACATAGAGCCTAGAAGGACAACATATTCTTACTGGCATGAGAAAAGAGGACACAGATAGAAGACCCTTCAGTGAGATCTTTCTTTCTACTGCAGAACATAAGAAGTTGAATAAAACTCTGCCAGTTTTGTTGCTGAAAGTGGTCATCTTCCCTCATCTCAGTGCAAAGAAGCTATTACTTGCTGTTGCATCAGTAGTAATGAAGTGCTGTGTGCAGCTAATCTGCAGTTGCTGCATGTTTGTCTACAGCTGATGCCAGTATAATTTGCACTGATGTGTAAAAAAAAAAAAAAAAAAGAAAAAAAAAAGAAAAAAAAGAAAAAAAAAAACAAAAGAAAAAAAAAAAAAAAAAAAGAAAAAAAAAAGAAAAAAAAGAAAACCCTCCAAACATTACACTGGTTTAAAAATGCCTGTCCAGGGCCATAGTTTGATAACATGGTGGAGAAAGGACCATACTGTAACTTAAGTATTCTAGACTGCATTCTAGCCTGGGACTTTGCATTGTAAACTGATACAAACAATGCTTATTTGTGCGACGTTTGCTGTCTCTACGTTCCGGTGACTCTGAGCAATACATGATAGTAGCAGTGTTTTGTAAGGATTTGCAGCAATAAGCTAAAAACATTTCCACATGAAAGTGAGCTTGTGTTGGTAACTGCATTCTGCTGGTCTCTCTTATTTTTTTGGAATCAACAGAAAATTAGCTCACTGAATTTTTTTTATCATTCATTTAAGCTTTGAAGTTGATAACATTGTTCCCTATGGTGTTATCCTTCTCTCTAGTCAGGGTAACCCTTTTTCTGAAAGCTTCCTTATAACCTCCATTATCCTCTTTTCTCTGTGGAATATGGAACATAGGCTGGAAGAAAATCACTTTAGCAGTTATTTGCACCACAGGCTTCTGGTGGCGTTTGCTATTTTCTTCTCTTTAAGTGCTTCTGATTCCTCATGGGGAAACTGAAAGCATTTCATTCCGAATCTGAGCTGCTTATGTATAATTTAAGTGTCCTGTTTCTTTTTAGTCGCTTACATTACAATTATTTTAAAAATGTTAGTTTTGTTCAGTTTTGTCTGCTCCTATTGCTCACTTTCTAAATGAACTCAAATGAGGGCTTTTGAGTTCCAAGAGGGATTAATTTGTCCCGTAGTGCCCAACTATACAGTTAAGCAAAGCTGTCATGGTCAAACTCAAACCTTTTTGTGGCATATAGCCACAAAAATGACACAAGTGGTCTAAGATGCACCTGGTGTGAGGTATACTCAATTCAGAGCTTTTTAGGTAAGAAGGATAGATCTAACTTGTATACTGTTCCCATATCAATTCAAATTAAATTACTGTCCTCTGGCATCTGAGCTTGCTTTGCAGCCCCTTCCCATGCAGGGTGTTATGCTAGTGCTTGGCCCACACTTGGCTGCTCCAGCCGAGCATCCAGCAGGTCCCACCCCCAGGCTCTCCCAGCGCTGAGCAAACACAGCCCCTCTTCTCAGCTTTGCCTCTTGCCTCAAACCAGAAGCAGAGGGGAAAGGGAGGTGTCTGTGTCCCCTGTGTGAACCCTGGGATGCAGGCATCTGAGTCCCTGGGCTGTGCCTCCGCACCCCTGCATCACATAGCACCCCATAATGTACATGCAGACCCCAACACTTGAGCCCAGGAAAACCTATTCCCTCAGCCACAGGCCTGTGGACCCTGACCCTGGGACCTGTGCAGCACATCTCAGAGGCAGTGACCCAGACCCCAGAGTAAACACCCCCATGCTGCTCTCAAGCACAAGCCACTGCAGGCAGCTCATCTCTGGTGGGTCAGGGTGGCGGGGGGCAGATTATTGGGACTGGGCCTGCACAGAGGTGACTCTGTGACCTCCGTGGTTCAGCC